ATAGATAGATAGATAGATAGATAGATAGATAGATAGATAGATAGATAGATAGACAGACAGACGGATGTGTGTGTGTGTGTGTGTGTGTGTGTGTGTGTGTGTGTGTGTGTTTCCTACGTGCATATCTCTGGAAGTTCGAAGATGCCAATAGACATCACAGAAGTGTTCTAAACTGCAATGTGAGTTCTGAGACTTGAACTAGCCTCCAGTACTCTTCTGTCTCAACTGTTGGGCAATGTTGTTTCACTGTATACCTATACAGTCTTTGAGTACCACACAGTTCTTGTTGTTCCAGCTTCTGCAGCCCTCAATAACTACACATTCTCTTCACTTACATGAAATGAACTCATTTGAAACAGGGAGCAGAGAATAAGAAGCTTTATGTCCTGGATAGACCTCTTATAATAATTGCAGACATTCTTCTGCTTAGAACATACCTGAGGATGGGACTCCTTATGTATTTCCTTAGTGTGTTTTCAGTAAAAGAAGAAAAGTAGTACTTGTAGTTCATCTTGAGTGGGCTATAAATCCAATTAGTTAAGACTGAGGAAGGTGGAGCTATCAGAAGAGTGCAGGGAACAAAGAGGGAAATACAGAGGGAGAGAGAAGGGTAGCACTGGAATATAGTTATGCCTTTTCATTTGTTCTTTGCTAAAATAAAAAAAAACTCTCTGTCTTCACTATCACTTGAAGTGTTTCACTTGCTTAGATACTATGGACTTTCAAGGACTCATAAAGAATTTTTATCCCATCAATACAGAACACTACACATTAATGTTTAAAAGCCTGCTATGCAGTAAGGACTTACCTAAAATTACAGTTTAAATACTACTTTTTTAGCTTGAAAGATACCCCATTGTGTTAGATAATTCAAGATTGTTGAAAAAAGTAACTAAAAACTAATTCTCCAAGTTTGTAAAATTCAATATTCTATACTCCAGGCAATCTTCATATTGCTCAGTCACTGTAAATTAGATTATTCTTGAGATTATATTTAAGTCAAGGCAAGATGGTCTTCTCTTTACAAATGCAATTAAGTCTCATGAGTGGAAATCTTGTTAACTATTGTCAGGGTAATTGAAATTGATTTGTGTTTACTAAACATTGTGAATACTAATCAAATATTAAACACTCAAGTGTTCCAGGTGCATTTAAATCTTTGGCAGTCTCAGAACTGCTTGAAACGATTTCTTGTCCCAGAAGTGAGTATTTTGTTTCAGCGTTTTCTTCAAAACGTATTAAGAGAAATAGAGAAGTGTCCTTCATTTCCTTCATGTACTTCCCTTAGTTGGGAGGCATTTGGAATAGGCCTGCAGGTCATGTTATTTAGGTTTTATTTTTAGTGCAACAGACAACAAGCCTAGATTTTCACTGCTTCGTTCATTTCTGGTTTGCTGGTCTCTGCGCTTCACAATGTTGCAGAACTCCACAGAATAGGTTTTATAGGAAACAAATATTACCAGCAATTTGAAAATCAGGTTGGATATAATGTCTGGTGGCTCACATGCCCTGGTTTGATGACTTGGCTTGCTTCAGTACCTTGTCCTTAATGGGATGATGCACCGGCTATATGAAGCTTAAAGAAACTCTGCTGATGCAAAAATAAAGCCACCACAGCCACTGGCTTTGAGGAAATTTTACAGTTGTTGCTTAACCTGCTCCCTTATGCCCTGCAATATTCATTAGCAGATTCCTCTGTTTATGACTGATATTATATGGAAATGGTTATGGGAAGCAAGCAGATGTAACTACTGAAATAAATTAGTAGGAAAGTTCTGCTTTTTACAGATGGCTCTATCAAATATGTTTCCTCTCTCTTCATATGAACATTTATTTGTCTTTCAACAGAAAACTTTTCTTTACTGACTCTGGGGATGTTCCTAAAGTAGAGAGATGTGACCTGGACGGGATGAACAGAACAAGAATAGTTTATTCAAAGGCAGAGCAGCCAGCTGCCCTGGCACTGGACCTCGTCAACAGATTGGTTTATTGGGTCGATCTCTACTTGGACTATGTGGGAGTAGTAGACTACCAAGGAAAAAACAGGCATACTCTTGTACAAGGTAGACAGGTAAGTACGATTTTGTTAGAAAATGCAGCTACCATAAACTGAATATTTGATACTCTTCTAAAGATAGAAATTTGAAGCATTCCTTACAGGTAAGTTGTAATGGCTCACAAACTCTAGATGCATATTTTATTTGGGAGGATGTTCTAGTCACAGTATTACTAGGATATGCCTGTTGAATTTATCAGGTTCTTCTAAAGGGATATAGTGTGTGTGTGTGTGTGTGTGTGTGTGTGTGTAAAGGGAATTTATTAGCGTGGCTTAGAGTCTTGATTGGATCCGTGGTCTAGTTAGTATAACAATGGTTGTTTCCTGATGGAAAGGCAGAGAATCCAGTAGAGACTGGATGACCTGCAGGTTTCAAGAGCTGCTGGAATTCTAGACTGGAATCCCTAAGAACTGTGTTTTAACATCAGCAAGGGAATGCCTCAACAACATTATTGGTGACCTTGCCTTCCAAAGCCATGCCCTTTTATTTGAACTGCCACCAGAAAAAATTTTAGGGTGCCTGTTCCCATCTCAGATGATCTAGACGTAGGGCAGATTGTCTGATCTCAAACGAGCCAATCAAGACAAATCCCTCACGAGTGTACTTTTAGTTGAACCTGGATGTTGCCCAGTTGGCAGTTAAGCTCAGTCATCACAATCATGACACTAGACGCCTCTTGCTCATTTGCCTCCCTGTTGAAGGCAAACAAACATAAGCAAGACCACGAATGCAGAAGTGCTATATTCACAAGAGAGGGAGAGACTCCCTGCAACGGGACAAATGTCATGACCTACTTTCTGAAAACTAATTCAAGCGTTTATTCATATGGAGCTGCACTGCCATCTGTCCCATGGGACATTAAAAATAGTTTGCTAGCAAAAGCAAATGTGTGCTCACAAAAATACCCGAATTATTTTAATAGTGTTAGACTTAATTTTGCCAACTGATTCATTTGTGTGCTTCCAAAATGAGAATTTTGTAAAATTTCAAAGATCAATATTCTTGACTGTGCATTAAGTTTTTTTGTGTTTTTTTTTGTTGTTTGTTTGTTTGTTTCTATCTTTCTTTCTTTTTTTTCAGGTAATGGCCCATAAATGCCTTAAAAAAGCTTAGTTGAAGCATGCCTTTTCCAGTGGTATTTCTCCCCCCTATTTTTCTGTCTCTTATATTACACCAATCTTTTGTGAGGTCTCCAGTGAGTTAATAGATTTAGTAATTGAACCCCTTTGATTTCTGATATAGTATGAGATAGGCCTGTTCTATGAACCCCTTACAGTGACTTTGTCTCTCATCACCTTTATAATGCAGTTAATTATCCTTGATACATAAAAACCTTTACATGGGTTACATATATATAAACTATCCAATGTTGGGACAATTTTTTCTTTCACACCTTCACCTGTCCTAAGGAATTCACTGTTTTTGGCAGGCCTTGGTTATGCCCTTCTGTGTAATAATTTGTAACATGATAATGAGAGACTTTATTTTGTTTGCCATTAAAATTAAATATTGAATGGAGAATTCAAATGTTTTCCTCCTAATTACTTGGAAAGTCTTTTAAGAACCTGTAAAGATGGCTTAGTGGTTAAGGTTACAGCTACTACAAAGGACTGAAGTTCAGTTCCCAGAACCCACTTATATTGCTCACAACTTCTAAGTTGAGGAATCTGACACTGTCTTCTGACCCCTGTGAACACGCACAGAAATACACATATATGAATATTTTAAAATAAAATTGAAATGACTCTTTAGAAAGGTTAAAATGTCTTTTAAATGTCCACTCTCCTCTTCACCCTCTTATTATTGTTGTTTTATTTGGTTGTATAGTGTATGCACATGTGTTTTCATGAGTGCAGCAAGACAATGGGAGCAAGGTCCCTCAGAGCTAAAGTGATTGCAGGACTTCTAGCTAAATACTAGTGTTGTAATTAAAATTCTGGTCCTCATGATTATGCAGCAGGTTCTCTTTACTGTATGAAATCTCCGTATCCTGTGAATGGAGTCAGGATGCTTACAAATGCACATTTATGGAGGCCAGAGGTTATTTTGAGGTGTCCTTCTAGCATTTTTTTTGACAGTTGCTCTGGTTGTCCTGCATCTCCAGTTAGGCAGAGTATATGGATCCGCCTAACAATGCAACACCAGTTCTAAGATTGCAAAGCCACACTATACGTAACTAGTTTTGGGTGAGCTCTCGGAATGGAACTCAGTTCTTTCTCTAAACATGGGAATTAGTAAGACAATTGCTTTACCAGTTGAGCTATACCCCCAGCCATCAAATGTTTAGTTATCCTTTTCTCTTGCTTCTAATGCCTGTGTTTGGCTGGCTCCCTAAACATATACTAAGTCTGTCAGCAAATAATATGATGTAGAAAAAGTCTTTAAAAGTTTTAAAATATGGAGAAAAATTTATATGAAGAGAAGTGAAGAGGTGTTGAATAAAACATAGTTTTTGCCATGTGAACAGATTTTCTACCTTGGCCAATTGTCTCTTATATAGTAAGGGTTTCCTTTATAGGATATGAACTGACATCTTATATAAAACAATATTGAAGTGTCATAGTGAGACACAGCATGAGTAGGGTTTCACACTCTGACCAAAGCAAGGAGCACAGTTTGTTTATATCTTCAAAGGTGAGAAAAAGCATTGACCAAATCAATACTAGGTCATTGGTATATTTGGAGGCTATGATATCATCTTCATTAAAAAGGATACAGGTAAATGCACATGCCCCCCCCATTGCAAAAATCTGTACACCTACTTATTATAACAATGGAATGTTGTCTGAGGGCTTTAACATAGAACAACCCTTTACATTGATTCTTGCCACTCATTTCTACACTAGACAAGAAGAAACAGATGATCTTGAAACAACACCAAAGTCAGTTTTCTTTTCCTCACACCTCACAAAAGGACCAGTCAATGACAATGACCCAGACAGGCTAGAACTGTATAATTGGCCAGGTATTCTTGTTAAGAATGTTTTACAAATTTTTATGAGTGGTTTCACAAACACATCATGCATTCTCACATCCTCGGCTGCAGATCCTTGTGTTTTAATATAGCCTCGTGTGGTCTCTAAGAAAAGTGACCAGTGACTCTCATAACAGCCAGTAATTACTCCAGATATCCAGACCAGAACCTTTTCAAATTATGCATAATTGAATAAAACCACTAGGCTCCATTCCCAGCAGTTCAGAAAACAAATGATCAGTCTTCTTTTTACCCTACTTTCAATGGACTTCAAACACTCAGTTTGCACCTCAAGATGCAAATATTTGCCAAAAGAGAATGAAGTTACTAGTCTAATAGTATGCATATCCATAAGCATCATAATTGCATTCTACTTGCCAGTATGGATACGTTTTAGAAATAATGACATTTTTGAATGAAATGCTCAAATTTTATTCATCATTTTGCACATATGTGATTTCTTTCTGTACTCTTCTCCTCACTGCATAAAGCATTATTTTAATATAACTTAAGACAAGAATGTGACTTTCAACATATGAAACAAATATTCAAAGGTGTTTTCATTTAGAGATCATTAAGGCATAGCTATGATTCTGCAGTGCCTACATATCTATATGAGCAAGTAGCCTCTAAAATGTCTCAAATTATATTAACTCTGACACAGCATATTAGTTAATGCATTTCAAGGTCTGGTTTTTACTAGTCTTGGACAGAAACTATAAAGCATATATTCCCAATGAAACATGAATATAATTATTTCCCATGCATATAAAACTATTTTACCCACTACTCTATTTTATCTTTCACTAAAAAGAGTAGAAATTATCGGAATGTTTCTTTGAAAGAAAATAGAAAATAAATGATAATATTCATCTGACTTTGGACATTCTTCACACTTGTAATTGTATTTTTTTGTTTCACGTTCGAAGCAGTAGAATTAAAAATTCTAGGAATATTTGGTGCTCTTTGCAGGTTAAGCATCTGTATGGCATAACTGTATTTGAAGATTATTTATATGCAACCAGTTTCGATGACTTCAACATCATACGAATAAACAGATTCAATGGCACTGATATTCATTCAGTAATTAAAATGGAAAGTGCTCGAGGAATCCGAACCTATCACAAAAGAACTCAGCCAACAGGTAAGCCACGGGGTTCCTCAACGACCTCCCTAACAGCAGCTTCAGTGAGAACATAGTCCTTGTGCTTCTGTGTGGTGTTACAGAGGATATCATAAATTCTTTCTTGACAGCAAAAATGTACGTGCCTGCTTGATAGAATAGAATAGAGATCACTTCTCAAGTCTAAATGACAAACTACTCAGCTCCTATCAAATCGTTTCTCCGACCCCGGGGTTGAAATGATGACTCGATTTAGCCCCAGCAAACAACTTTCCGTTTGATGTATGTAGACAGGGAGCTCGGACACTAAGGCTTATTTCTGAACTTTTCTGCCATTTTTGGAAGGTAAATTTTGGACCAGGTTATTTGCTGTGGCACTTGTCTCGTGTCCACTAGTGGGAGTTCTGATTCTCCTTGTTTAATATCCCAATTGCTTTATGTTTTTTTTTAAAAAATGCCCATTAAAAAACAATTAAAGCTAACTGCAGTAGTGTTAAATATTTTTTAAAAACACAATATAATGATTTTTAAAATAGGTTAATAATGCTCGTCAACAGTCCAGTTTAGGCCCAGTAATACAAAGCTATTTGAAAGTAGAATAACACCACCCCAGATTCTTGTTGTCTTCTATACTGATATTTCAAATTAAAACTGATCTAAAACTATTAAATGTTAATGTACATCTATCCGAGGAAGTGCACTGTCACAAACAGATTTGTAACAAGTTCAGTTTTGAAATTTGAAGACAACTGTAATAGAATTCTGTAGTTTTCTGTATTTGCTAATTATCCATGGACAATTATTATGTAGCAAGATTTATTCTATATGCTGGGAATATACTACTAAACTAGACACAAAGTAGCTTTTGCTTTATGGAACTTAAGTCATATTGGAGACAATATAATACAAAATGAAAAAGTAAATTATTTATTTCATTAGAAATAGTAACTACTATCAAAGAGAAAAAAGATAAGGAAGATTTAAAGAATCAGGCATGGGGAGTTGACAATTTTTTTGTCAAAGAGTTCTAACTAGAAAAATGACATGAAATAAAAACTTCAAGAAATTGAATATAAGAAGCCTGGTGATCTCTGGAGTAAGCTGTGTGCAGGGAGAAATGACTAAGTTCAAAGCCATGAGGGCAGAACAAACCTAAACTTCACTGGAGCATCCACTGGCTTATATGTCTGAAACAGAGTGACTACGGACAGGAAAGGGAAAACAAAATTAGAGAAATCATAGATTATATAATATGTAGGAGCTTGTAGATGATCTTAAAGTACTTTATTTTTTCTATTTCATGAAGTAGGAATCATAAAAAAATCATTCAGCAGAATTTCATAATAACAGTTATGAACATTCCATAGATGTATGGAATTGATGCCAGACTGTCCTGGGGAGAAGTAGATGATTAGAAAAGATGATGGATTGTTCCAAGAGAGTAGTAGTCAGGTAAATAGACGTAGGATCTTTATAAACATATATTTGATGGGACATAAAAGATAAAGAGTCAAAAATGATGGCATTGAGTTGCTAAGAAATTGAAACAACATAAATTGTAAAAATGAGAAACAAAACAATTTAGAAGAAAAGACTGAGTTCAGTCTTGTGGGTTATTTCAGATGTCTATTATAAACTTAAATCTAGATATTTAGAGATACATGCATACACAAGACTATGTATTAAGTTTGGAGGAGAAGACCAGGATGGATATAGCAGTTGGAGTAGTTGACAGAGAGGCATTATTTAATGCCATTGAATGGCTGTGAACATCAGGGATGTAAGCTGATGTGGGGAGGAGTTTCAAATAATGACATTGGAACATATCACCAGTAAGTCGAGAATAGAGAAGCCAAATGATGACACCAAGAAGCAGTTCAGAAAGTCAAATGGCCTTTGGACTTGACAGTGTGAAGCTTATTGACTTCTGACAGTGACATTTTGATGGTGATATGTGACTAAAGTCGATTTGAAAGAGACAGAAGGAATGGAAACAGAGAAAATTAGCAATGGCCATGGAAAACCATGCACCTTAGGTGAATCTATGTAATGAGAAGCTGTTTTTTTTCCAAGTTGCATAAATACTGGAATATTTGCATACTGATAGGTAATAAAGAAAGAAAACGTGGAAATGAAAAGGAGAAAGAGAATTGATGATGATAACAGAATGGGTTTATTACCTAAGCTGCTTTTTCTCCATGTTACCTAAGCTACTTTAGAAGCCTTAGGACATTACACAGCAATAAAGCATTCACTGAAAGAACATTTCACTCATTTTTTTTCCTCTTTGAAAAATGATGGATACAGAAAGAAGAAAGCATTATTTTTAAAGTAAGCTAGTTTGGCTATAAAATAAGTTAGCCATATATTCACCTCTCTTTTAACGAAGAGTTGAGCAACAATTTAGTTTTAATACTAGCCAGACTCCCAGGGACACAGTGACAGTATTACTTCTCTTCGGCCATTATCTTTCTTATTTGCATGGTCCTATTTCCATTTTATTCTTCTCTCATTCTAAACATTAATAAAGCACATTTCCACACCATGATTTTCTTGTGGTCTCAAATACTAAAAGCATTTGTTGTGACTTAGCATTTCTCATCAGCTCAGACGATGTCTCTCCCAGTGTGACTGCCCATATGCTGATGAAGACTAAAACCTTTTTAATGTCATTTAAATAAGCACACAAAGTTTGGCTCCAAAACAAACAGAAATGTTAATTTTATTTGCATATTTATGAACACAGTAAATTAATATTTCTTCGATTTTTATTTTAAAATTTAACCCAAGAAGATTCTATCAATCCCCTCCCTCCCTCTTCTCTGGCGTTCATTTTTTCCCCCCATGTTATTAATATAGTACTCCACAGTGGGGTATGCAACATTTTGCTAAGATTCCATGTCCTTACACATAATTGACTTGTTCACACATAATTGACTTGTCTGGTTTTCTCTCTGTTGCAGTCAGAAGCCACGCCTGTGAACTGGATGCATATGGACTGCCAGGGGGCTGTTCACACATCTGTCTGTTCAGCAGCAGTTATAAGTCACGTACCTGTCGCTGCAGGACTGGCTTCAACTTGGGGAGTGACGGCAAGTCATGCAAAAGTATGTTGCTACACATTTTGCCAGCAGGCACCACTTCTGGAGAGTTGTGGGTGTTTTGTCTTTTTTTTTTTTAAATTAGAAGCATACCCATCAGTAAGAAGAACAAATGACTTACAGTCTTACAGTGATATTTGCCAGCAAGTGCATGCTAGACATTTTCCCTTCTCAAATGATCTTCCAAAAAGGTGTCTTGTTTGACTGAAGAGCACACACAATAAAGCAGTACCATTGGATCTAACAAGACAGCACCAGTGCACACACATCTTTGCACAGCAGCAATGGGACTGAAGTTTGCTTCATTATTTCATGTTTCATTAGCGATGTCAATCACGTATCAATCTTTCGAACCACTTATCAGAAAGTCTCCCTTAATTATAAGTTGTTACAAATTTTTTATTTAATTTTTGAGGTTTGGCACGATATTTTAATGATTATTTTTGAGCAAGCTTTTAAGATTTTTTTTGAAAAAGAAAATAAATAAACAAAATACAAGCTAATTTGTGTTTCTGGCTTTGAGCTAAATGGTGGAAACATAAAGATATCTGGTCTCAGTTTCCTGAGCCTGTAGGAGGAGGGCCTGCTTGTTAGTCTGGCTGTCCAGAACCGAAATGATCACACAGAAACTGTATTAATTAAGTCACTGCTTGGCCCATTAGCTCTAGCTTCTTATTGTCTAACTCGTATATCTTAATTTAACCCATTTCTATTAATCTGTATATCGCCACGAGGTTGTGTCCTACCAGCAAAGTTTCAGCGTGTCCATCTCCAGCAGTGGATCCATGGTGTTTCTGACTCTGCCCTTGTTTCTCCCAGCATTCAGTTCCTTCCTACTCGCCTACCTAAGTTCTGCCCTATCAACAAGCCAAGGCAGTTTCTTTATGCGTTAATGGTAATCACAGCACAAAAAGGGGACTCCCACATCATGAGCCTATCCAGATAACTGCATTCATTCCTGGATTTGAGGTCTGCAGATCAAAGCAGCTAAATGAATCTGCACAGTTGTTTAGCATAACTAAAAAGACCGTTGCTCTTGAGAAGTGATAGTATGACATGAAATGGTATAATCACATCCATGTATACACACAATGTACATAAATACCTTTAGAGCTTAGAGCTGCATTTAAGAGAACTTCTATGGACTACGTCCTTTAGGTGCAAAACTCACCACAAACAATTCTAACTATGATGAATAAAAATAGATTCAACAAAAACTGAGTCTTGATCTTTCAAACTCTATAAGCTCCCTCTCGCAGAAAGTCAGACATCTGGCACTATCAAAGGTCAACGTAACATCAATCCACAGAGGGAAAAGGTTAATATAAAAACCAGAATGTTTCCGTGGAGCTCAGGGGGTTAGAAAACTAGAAATGAGGTTGCTAGTTCCAGAAAGACATCCTGTGGGCCATCTTTCCCACTCAGGTGGAGATGCCCTGCCCCTTTTCTTTGTTATTTCCAAGGGTAAATGGCTTGGAGAACACTGTAGTGAAAACATGTATTCTATTCTGTTTATCCACAGAAACTATAAATAAACCTAATCCCACCAGGCAGTGGTGGCGTGAGCCTTTAATCCCAGCACTTGGGAGGCAGAGGCAGGAGGATCTCTGTGAGTTAGAGGTCAGCCTGTTTGACAAGAGCTAGTTACAGGACAGGCTCCATATCTACAGGGAAACCCTATCTTGAAAAAAAAAACAAAGAAAGAAAAGAAAAAAAAGAAAGAAACCTGTGCCTTCACTTTAACAGTAGAATGGAAATTGGAACTTAAAACCAGAACCCAAGTTCTGTCGCTATCTAATTAAATTTCACACATACACACACAAAGAAATTTTAAAGTAGGTATCAAGGAATGCCTAAACTAAGACTGAACAAAATATAAATACCTTTCTTACAATTTAAAGGTCCCAAACAGATATGTTCCAGCAATGACAGTCGAAGATTGCCCAATAAAATTTTCATATTCATTAAAAATGCATATGAAAATCTGCTATGATAGATTCCTGACTCTGGTTCCTTAGTCAATGGAGTATTATGCTAGAATTTAAAAAAAATGTTTTTGAATATACTTTAATGACATAACAAAATATCATTAAATTTAATGGTGATAATATTTGAAAAATAAATGAATATATGCACACATTTGTCCAAAACCATTCTATAATTTCAGAAAAGGAAGCTCCTAAATGAACTGATACTAATTTTATGACATATAAAATGTTATTTTGAATGAAATATTACTTTTGAAATCAGTACGATATCAAGAGCTTATGAAAGCACAGATAAAGTCACTAACTCACTTTATCTTATAATTACATCAAAGGAAAGGTGCAGAATAATAGAAAAGGAAAAGGAAAATCTCATCTCAGTGTTAGCATAATCTTAAAGCAATATGTAAATGGCTCAGCAATCTTCTGCTAAGTAATGGGAACGATGTAATACTTAACATAGTGAATCAGCTCCAAAAATAGTTTGATGTTAATTTAAATAGAAAAAATGTTTATAACATGGATCTTCCTTTTAAATAATTATAAATAAAAAGAAGGAAAGGAATTTAGGCTTTTTGTGAATTTAGGAGCTAGAAGCTATAGCATACTACATTATGTATTTAAGTAAAATGCCGTTATGAATTCATCATTGTATTCAATGAATATGTGTCAACAAAAAATAAATACATATTGCAAAATATATGCATAAGTTAAATTTGAAGAAAAAACTACACAGTAATGGAGTGTACTATATAGTTAAATCCATGGATGGCTATTGATTATAATGAGAATAAAATTAATTTACAAAGTTCAACTTGCAATTCAACTAGACAAAATGTACAACTTGACAAAATTAAACCCTCCAATAACGGAAAATGCACAGTTTATTTACAAAATTGCTTTAAAAATTCTTGATAGACACTGCAACAATATCTAAAAATTGCCTTTGTATGGAAAAAAAAAAGTAGCAGAGAATTGATAGGTGCTCAAACAGCTTGAGCAGGCTTTATTTAATGCCAGAAAGTTGACATCTCTCATTCTGGTCACAGGATTAGGGCTTAGTACTTACTCAATGACTACTCAATTGCCAGATTTCAAGAGAAAGCAGATTCATGTTTCAAGCTGGAGATTTTGTAGCTCAGAATATGTAAGTGGCGAGAGGATTTCCTTGTTTGGTGACAGAATATGGGCCAAGCTGTTCTTCTTCCACAGTTGATTTTTGAACTTCAGGGCCCATTGCCTTCTTTTTGCAAATACTGGGTGTCTGAGGTAGTATAAAGTTTTGCTTCCATTTATTCCAAATAGCTGACTTCCTGGAAATCTAAATTCAGTTTAGGGCATTGGTTTTGTGTGTGTGTGTGTGTGTGTGTGTGTGTGTGTGTGTGTGTGTCTGTGTGTCTGTGTGTCTGTGTGTGTGTTGGGGAGATTTCTAAAAGTCAAGGTAAAGAACCATGTGACTGACCTGAACCTGACCTGAAAGTTGGGAACATGGATCCCAAACCCCAATAAGATTTCCTAGCACAAGATTATGATGTTTATGGAATAGGTGTTGAGTGCATCTGGCAGGTGGTTTTCAAGTAATTCCTCTGTATTGAAACACTGCCCACTAGACTTGGATGCTGATAAAACTTAGCCCAGATAGTTCAAAAAGTTAGAGATTTGCAAGGCTCCTTCCCCCTTTTATAATAGCAACAAACACACGTCAGAGTCGACAGCTTTGCAGGTCAAGCAGTCACCTGCAGGACTGCAGATGAGCAAGAAAGTTGGTGTGTGTGTGTGTGTGTGTGTGTGCTGAAATGCTTCTTAGTGAGTGATATAGTTGCTTTTAAATTGCCCATGCTTCTTTAAAAGAAAAAGCAAACAAACAAAAACAAAAAAGAAAACAAAACAAACAAAGCTACAACAACAAAAAAACAACAAAAGAAAACACAAGAAAAAAGAAAAAGGTAAGAAAGGCCACCTTGATTTTTCATTTTAGTAGCTATGGAGATCATTTCTGTTTGTTTGGAGATTTGTGCTGTTTGTTTGCTTCTGTTTAGCTCTGTGTTACACATCAGATTTCCTGGCAGACGACATCGTCTCTGACATTACAATTAAGCTACAAAGTAAACCGATGCCATCAGCTGGCACTGACTCGTTTCTTATACACATTTGTCACCTGTTTGGACAGCAGGGCACAATAACATTCATGTTAATCTCTCTGATAGCCTGTGAATCTTTTGTTAGCACTCGCAGTCAGTTTGTGTCAGCTCCATACTGCAGAGTTTTAATTGGCCTGAAGTTTTCAGCACTGTCAAATGTAATGAGTGCAATAGAGAGTATCTTCAGAAAGCGTTAGCTTGATTGTAATGAATTATACAATTAAATGTACCGGATATTTTAATAAATTTCCATTTCACAAGTTACAAGTTATTCAATGATCTGTCATGTTTTTGCTATACAGACAGAAGAATAATTAACTAAATATAATCCATTCAGTGAAGTCATTTCTGGTTTAATTAAAGTAATGCAATTAGCCGGCCTTCTTGCATCAAGATCCGTTTGGCATATTTCAGCGTTTAATTTCTAGTATTGAATTTTAAAAAAGTCTAATTGTGCCAGTTAATTAAACAGTGGCATTCTGCAGTGTAAAGAAGATTAGGCAGCATGGGTTGTTTATGTTTGTAATCTTTCTTCTGCAGGGCCAAAGAATGAATTGTTCCTGTTTTATGGGAAAGGACGCCCAGGAATTGTTAGAGGAATGGACTTGAATACCAAGATAGCGGATGAATGCATGATCCCCATAGAAAATCTGGTGAACCCGCGTGCTTTGGACTTTCACGCAGAAGCTAATTATATCTACTTTGCTGACACCACCAGTTTTCTAATTGGCCGGCAGAAAATAGATGGGACTGAGCGAGAAACCATCCTGAAAGATGGTAAGTGACCCGGTGACATTAACATCAAAATGCCCAGAGATAAAGGCCTTTAAAAGGCTACAGCTAGTGTGTTTCATTGTGCTAAGCAGATTCCATATTCTTCTTATTCATTTAAGAGCATTCTATAATTTTATCCTCTTAGTGACACTAATTTCTACCGTTTTCCAATTCTGTATGCTAATATGTCAATGAAAAATGAAACTTGAATTGCCTACTACATTTTAAACACTATAGTAAGTAAGTAGTGATATTGTTCACTTTTTGGCAAAATGTGGAATTACAATGGTGCTGTTATAGACTTCATGGTACAATATCATGCTTAACAGGTTGTCAAAGAATTCTGTAGTATTGGTCCTTATTAGAAAACTGTCTATCTCAGTAAAAGCACCAATGTTCCTATCGCCATCAAATTCCTGTGTATTCTTTCTTACTCTATCTGTTAAAAGGCAATTGTAAAACCGTGCTCTTGAAGTAGCAAATATCTTTATAGAAACATAAAGATATACTTACTTTAATTTATCAGTACAAATATAACAAATGTAGTATTTTGTACACCTCACATGCATGCACTCTGCTCAAACCAGTATAAAATAGTTTTAGAAACAGCCAACAAAATACCATTATTAAAGATAGAAAAATATCTTAATGCTAAACCAACACATGATTGAGTAATGTCCTAACATAATTCTGGGTCTCATTTTCCTCATACATAAAGCCTACACAGTTCTTGAAAAGAAATCACTGAATCAAGAATCATTTACTGAATATTTATGAAGTACAGTTTCTGGCCTATTGTGTGAGTTAAAAGTTAAACACAATTTCCAGAAATGACTACCTTGATGGACAATATAAACACATGGAAAATTTAAAGTATTTCAATATGTGATTAATGAAATCCAAGTCGCCCTAGAAAAAACACGTAGTTCATGAGGATTCCCTAGGCAATGGGCATCTATAGGAAGTGGTAGACACCCTTTCATACATATGCTCAGAGACTCCTTATATACCATGCCATTTGTGGGTACACCTTAAAGAGGAGATGTTAAAGGCAGAGAGGAAACATTTATGCATCCAGAAAAGTATGGAGAAATATTCTCCAGAAATAGGACGGATACTCTCAATGGATCACTATTTTGGCAGTTCAATTTGCAGATAATAGTGAGGGAAGATAATGCAAAGTAGAAATGGATAGGATGAAAAACCTTGAATGCAAAATGAAGGGGTTTGCATAAAAATGATGCAATGAAAAGGATTTCTGATATAAGAAAAAGTGTGAATAAAGTCATATTTTAAGAAAACCCATCCAGAGGTAGGATGCACAAGGAGTCAGAGAACATACAAACTGAACAAGACAGCCCAGGAACATTCACATGGGTCTGTGAAACAGAACCAGAGATTCATAAGAAGATGATTCACTCGGCTTAGCTATAGTTCAAGTCAAATTACCAATGACAAAACGTTCACTCTCCAAGAGAGGCAGATGAAGTTTCAAAATGAAATATGTGGCAGTTTCACGCTTTAAAAATAGCTTCCTGAATAAGGAAATACGTCACCCACGATTTTGTATTCACAAGAGGCTTTATTAAGCGTCTTGCTTTCATTGACTCTGGCAGAAGCTTTTGCTACTGGTCTTAGAAGTGGACTATCAAATTTTGGGAAAGCGACCTGCCCTGTTAGCCAAGCAGATTGTTGGGGGATATTTTGGTTTCAAAAGAATTTTTCAGGAGGCATGAAAATATAATAGAGAGGGTCTTGCTTTCCTTTCAGAAAGTGTCAGTTTCTGAGCTCTGACTAGAGGTTAGAAGTCAAAAATTAAAAAGAAAGGAAAAGCACAGTAAGGCTAGTGGTTCATAGCATCGTGATAGAGAGAGGGAGAAGGAAGGGAAAATACAATGAAGATCTGTAGGGCAGGAAAAGTGAGGAGAGAAGGGGATTTGACCAATGATGGAATGAAGAAAGAAAGATGGTTATGTACTGTCAGAAGACATAGACCCTGCAAACCAGACAAGATATGGAGGAAAGAAAAAAGAAAAAGGGGAAAACAGGTTAATATTCCTTAAAAAATGCTGGTGTGACCACGTGGGCTCGCAGAGCAACCACTAGTCCGGCAGAGACAGCTGTGGGTCCCTGCAAGGTCCCCAGGGGCCATGTCAGAGCAGGCAGGAGCGCATCCCGGGAAGGTGGTGGATAAAAGGCTTATAAGACATAGAAAATAGACATAAAGCTAAACATAAAGCTGAACATTTATTACTTAAAAGAGAAAGAAAGACAAAAACAGAAATGGAGAGAGAGAAAGGACAGAAAGCACATGTGCACACACCAAGAGAGGAAACAGAAAGATGGCAAGGAGAGGTCAGAAGTCGCTGGGAGTGGGCGTGGCTTGTCCCTTAAAGGGACCGAGAGCCAAAGGAATAACACATGTAAAAAGTAAGAGTGGAAAGAAAAAAAAAAGGAGACTAAAAAGAAGAAGAAAAAGAAACAAAGAAAGCAAGGAAGGAACAGAGAAAGAAAGGAAGGAAAAAAAGAAAGAATGAGCAACATAATAGAGCAAGAACATAGCTGGACCAAGCTGTCCTGCTAGGGTAGCCTTGACAGCGGGACACAGATTTGATGACACACACGGAAAGAAAGCTGGGTGGAGACATGAAAACTGACTGGACCGATCATTGGCTCTCATCTGGATTCTCTCCTGTTCTTTCCTTGGTACTGAAGGTCCTGCAATCGACAGTCCAGTGTTCTGCTCTTGAGTTGCTCTCCAGATAATCTGTTGACCATTCACAAGTCATTCATACGTTGAGGCTGCGATCAGGTTACAGCTTTGTGAATTCCTCCTGGGCTTAGGTGGCAAATGCTGGGCCACCCAAATACAGTGCTTGTGAACTTTACACAAGGCTCAGGCTCCAAAGAGCTCTAGAGGCTTCTATAAACAAATCTCTTCCCACCAGACTGTGCTACACAACGACAATCCCAGCACTTCAGAGGTTTAGAGAGGAGGTTAAGAAGTTTGATTCTGGTAAGGTTATATAGTAAGAATTTGTGGTTAAAAATAGAAATTGAAAGCAAGAAAGATGCTTATTGTCATTATTATTAAATTTCTAGTATGAGCAACAGAATACTAAAACACTTGGGGGAATGCTTATTGGTCACATTGGTGTGTGTGCTGAATACTTTGCCCTATGACCTAAATATATATATATATATATATATATATATATATATATATATATATATAATCTCTAAACACAACTATTAAGGTCAATAAGCTTTTCTGCCCAATGCAAAATTTAGTTAAGTTCTCCCCACCCCCTCACAACCATTCTGAAGCCAAACAAACAAACAACAAAATAAACAAAACCGAAGAGTTTTACCTGTGATTTTAAGATGAAGTACAACCTCGATATGGGTACTAGAATGTATGGCTGATGATAGAGACATGTATGAAAATCCAAGCCCAGTGCATTAGCAAGTGCTCTGTGCCCATTTGTGGGGCTTTCTGAAGAGCTGGCTTTGCTAACAGATTTACTTCCTCTCCGAGCACTCTGACTCTCATTCGCAGCCCTCATCGTCACTGCAGTCTGCTAACTTGGTCTCTGCTTTCTGTACCTCTTCCCCTTTCAGCACTGGTAGACTGTGGTAAGGAAATAAGACTAGCCTTTTATGAACTAGTCGCGCTCTAAGCAGATCTCTTTATGAGTCTGGGATAGCTTTAAAATTAATTATATCTTTTTTTTTAATTTTTGGCCAAATGTAAATTTGTAATCTCACCTGAGGCAGGAGGATTGACTGAGACCAGAACTTCAGGGCTAACTTTGGCAATGGAGTAGGAATCCCTATCTTTAAAAAGTTAAGAAATAAGAGAATGGAAAAAGAAGATAAATGATCCTTTTGAATGGTAGCTGTCAATTATGTCTGTGTCCAGAATCTTTCATGGGGGATTACAGCTGGTTCTCTCTAATTTCACTTCTCTTGACCAAAGTACGTGGAGCTCTGTGCTTGTGACTTCTTGTCTCTGAGAGTCCATGGTTTTTGATGGTATTTCCTGTTCTTTTCCTAGCATTCAGCTAGTGTTGCCTTGTTAGTACTAAGAAAGTTTGGTCGGTGCAGTGGAGTGCCCATCTCCTCCTCAGAAACAAGGGGCTTGACTTCCACCCTCCTTGATGACAGCTCACCTTTGAGCTTTTTTTTATTTATCCCATTCCTTGCGAGGAGGTTCCCTGTGCCTTTGCCAGCTGCAGCTAACTTTATTTCTGCACCCCTCACAAAGGGATGTTCTTTGTCCTGTTCTGGTGGGTAGAAAGGTCTCCTCACCCTTCCCTGGTGGTTTAGCTGTTTTCTTTAGTACATGAGCTGAGTGAGTCTGAGAGATGGATTGAGTTTCTTGTCTGTGAGATACTCAGGGGTCTCTCAAAGGTTTCCTGTTCTGCTTTTAGCCATTGTCTGTGAACTCAGTTGAAGGAATTCTTTGTGTCAGGGGTTCTCGGGGACGCTAAACTCACACATCAAACAACATTTACTTTCAAGAATTCTTTCCTATTTTAGCTTTTAAATTTTTCTGCTTTCAAGACCATTGCCTTTCCCACTGTGCCCTGCCACAGAACAACACTTCATGGGTCTTGCTGTTCCTGTCAGAGGCCTGTGGCCCTTCCCATCATCCTGTGGATCTCCGCTTTATTCAAAATCAAGGAAAGCTGTGATCTTACAAAGCTTGGGTCTTCCTCCTCTTTCATGTGTTTCTGTAGTCCCTGTAGTTTTCAGCATCTTGCCTGTGGATGAGCTCTGAATGCTTTCATTTCAAATCCTCGAATGCAAATGGGAATTTGAAAAACAACGTGGAGATATTTTTAAACTTTTTTTTTTTTTATCTCCTTCACCTTTCCATTAGAGTAAATTAGAAAGCATTTTGTTCTTCTTAGTGGATGAGAACCCCTGGTGATGCTTTCTCAGGCTCCCAGTCTATGCAGTAAAGGCATTTTGGTTGATGCAAATTAGGGGTCATATGC